CCAGTTCCAGTGCATGCGATAAACAGAGTAATGACCAACAGAAACAGACTTTGTCTCTTAGTTCAGGTCAGTGTAGTTCCTATTCAAAGCCATCATACATTCCATCTGATGACCCGTTCTGTGATATTCCAAAAAATAGATTAGAACGCCAGTCTCGATTATCTAGAGGTCCTTATCAGCCTAGATTGAGCATGTTTCCTAGAAGTAAAATAGGGAATAAACAAAGAAGTTTTCAGTCCAATTGGTATGAAAAGTATAGGTGGTTAGAATATAGCCCATAAAAGGTCGCAGCATTTTGCTTTTACTGCCGTTTCTTCTCCTCTAATGATGCAGCAAACAAAGGTCACACTGATCCAGCATTTATTGATAAGGGATTCAGAAACTGGCATAGGGCTAATGAATGTTTTAAAAACCACCAACTGTAAAAATCTAATGTGTTGAGCTGTTCTTCATGGTCAAGTTTTAATGAAGGGAAACCTATTGATGTATTATTGGATGAGGGCAAGCAGGTTTATCTGTCTAAACAAGAAGAACAACGGTGCCATAACCGAAGTGTAATAGAGCGACTGATTGACATTGTTCTGTGTTTGGCGAAGGTGGGAGACCATTCAGGGGTCACAATGAAAAAGCTGACAGTTTTGAGAGGTTTATTTCTAAATCTTGTCAATATGCTCCAAAAATATGATCCCGTAATGGCAAAGCATGTGCAACAATCTCCTCGAAACGCTATCTGAGTAATCGCATCCAAAATTATTTAATTGTGGCCTTGCACAACGTTGTGCAACAAAAGATTGTGTCTTCACTACATGGAAAAATGGTCTCAATAATTGCAGATGACACTACTGACAGAGGACACTATGTCCATTGTGGTGCGGTATTTTGACAATGAAAAACAGTCTAGTTGAACATTTTGTGTGTGTTCAGAGAGAGAGAGAGATGATCTCCAAAACCCACTTGTTCATAGTGATTGACTCCCAAGTGCACCTGAAGTGGTGAAGGTGGTTGCCAAAGTGAGGAAGCTGGAGAAACAGTGTAGCTGAAGAGGATGAAGATGGCAATTCAGCCCTCGATCAATTGTCAAAATTGCTGCTTGGAGGTGGATGGGCACAACGTGGGAGGCTGTTTCCTTCTCTGGAATCTCTGCCTTTTTTGTTGCGGTTAATACGACCTCTGGGAGGAAAGGAATTGGGCAACCTGGGATCTCTGGGCCATCTGTGACTTGCTGAGCTTTATGTTCTCTTGGTATTTACACACCTGCTTAGAAGAGAAAGTAGCTCTAGAGTCCTATAATGTTTGCAGAGACTCATCCATGCTATCTGCAAACTTAGACCCATCAAAAGACGGTCCTCTACAGTACTTTAGACCTCTTTTGGGACTCCAGAGAGTTGAAGACAGGAAGTCTTTCCCATAACTACTGCTGTAGCAATCAATCAGGCAGCAATATCAGTCACGTAAGAGGAGGCTTATGGGGCTGTTCTAGCAAGAAGTTGGCCTTCTTCAACAATTACCTGGAACTGCTCCCTGTGCTCTGTCGATGGGTGGTCCATGAAAGAATTCAGCTTGGTATAATTCTTGTGATTGTACTTTGCCATTAACGCCTGATAACTGGCAATTCTAAATTGTAAGGAAGCTGAGGTATAAGAAGATTTCCTCCTCAGTAAATCTAGATGCTTATGGTCTTTTTATTGAGGTGTGGTTTTATCATGGTGCTGTCTTCCACATTCATTAACTGCATCAACTACCAAGGACTTAAGTGAGAGATGGGAAAACAAAAATTGTGAATCCTTTGCTGGGAAATAATACTTCTTATCCGCTCTCTTGCATGTAGGCGGTATAGAAGGGAGGGTGCGCCAGATGATCTTCACTGGGTCCAGCAGAGCCTCATTAACAGGCAGGGCAACATGGACTGATGAGGGTGGGTGGAGGATATCAAGCAGCTTATGATAACGCTCTTTCACCTCAAGAGGACTCTTCCAGGATCTGATCAAGAGAGTTGCAGACTCCTTGAAGTGCTGCTGCTGCTGCTGGAGGGGGATGCATAACTTGCCTATTTTGTTTAATGCCTTTATTTGGATAATCTCAAAAGACTTTTAAAACATGAAGCATCAGAGATAAGTAAATATTATCCCTTGGCAACTCCTTCTAAACTGAGCTGCTACAGGGCGTGGTCATCCTGGCTCCACCCACCAGGCTGCTTGCGGCGTTCCCTTCACATCCGCCTCTGAGGGAGGCCACACCTCCTCACTACGCTATACTTTGTAACAAGTAAAAAGAAGAACAGGAGTACTTGTGGCACCTTAGAGACTAACAAATTTATTAGAGCATAAGGTTTCGTGGACTACATAT